CACACATGTATATACATACCTACATGCACATGTGTACACATACACACACATATATACATACCTACATGCACATGTGTACACATACACAGGCAGAAAACATCAATTCTATGAAACTACTCTCCTCTTAAAAGTCCATTAGGAGAGGGTTTTCATTTTACTTTGAGATTAACCATCATATTCCTTCTTTCCTTTTCCTCTCTTTAAATAGACCTTTTTAAAATCCTTGTTCTATATGTGATTGGAAAAGTTTTATTTGTCTTTCTAAGATTTGCTTATTTCTCTTAACATGGTGATTTCCAGTTTTGTCCATTTTCCTATAGAGGGAGATATTTGATGGCATCCTGTTGTTGCCCTGTGTCATGGAGATCCTGCAGCTTTGGATCTGCAGTAACAGCCCTATCATGTGCTCCAGCAGTTCATAGATGTGGTACATGCTGGGGTGGGCCAATTTAAAGCCCTGGGTAGAAGCTGGGTTGGTCAGCCTGCCAGTGCTCTTGCTAGCACACCATCAGGGGGAGCTCTTCAGCACTGCCCCAGCTAGCTCACCCAATGCAGCAACCGTCAAGGGGCAGAGCCAGCTCTCATGCTCTCATACCCTCTGGGCTAGCTCACTCAAGCCCCTCTCTCCAGGGCCAGCTCTACTGTGCTGACCAGGCAAGGTACAGGGCCTGCTCTCCCAAGCGCTGCAGCTGCTGAGGGGCAGGGCCAGCTTTCAAACTCTTATGCCTCTAGGTTATACCCACACCACCAGGGTCAGTTCTGTGCTGCCCAAGCTAGGTGCAAGGCCTGCTCTCACCTAGAAAATGCTGCAGCACGAAAGGGGGTAGGTTAGCTCTGTGAGGTACTACCACAGGAGCAGGGTGGCACATCCTCTCCAGCCTCAGCCTACGGCCACCTTGAAGTACCACTGCATAAACTGCTATGGTGGCTGTACCACCTCTCCAGCTCCCCAGAGTGACTTCATGGTAATGGTGCCTCAACCAAAGTTGCCTGCTGCCCTGGCAGTCTTTTGGTCCTGACCCACAGGCTCGATGTAGGAAAAAGAGAGTGGAAAAAAAAAACAAAAACAAACAAAAAAACAAAAAATACCCACCACCATCAACAAAAGTAACACCAATCCTTGAGCAGGAAAACTCACCAATCCCGAGTCCTCAAGCTCAAGACTTTAAATCTCACCAATCTTCACCCTGGAAATTCTCTGCCCTAGAAAATTTTGCCCACTAAGAAATCCTACATAAGCCATGCCTACTGCTTGGTTCGCTGCTGCTTCTCGCTGGAGCAGAAGCAGCCACCCTCCTGGAGTTTTCCCTCCCAGTAAATCTACGTGAGGTTTGCTGTGCTGTGTGACTCCGTGGGAGCTATGACACTTTCCCTGGAGCAAAGCGGAACAGAACTCTTACACTTTTGCTGGGGAATCCCTTCCCCAGGGGAGCAGAGCTGCCACACTTCCGAAA